ATTGTTGCAGCCATGGCGTCAATCCATCTCCTTTCCCTCCTTCACTGCCCCTCTACTTTGCCAAACACGACATACTTCTCCAGGGACTGGTCTTTCCTGACATGTCCAAAGCATGTAACATGAAGCCTCACCATCCTTGCCTCCAAAGAGCACTCTGGTCACACCTCTTCCAAGACAGTACCATTTGTCCTTTTAGCTGCCATGGTACTTTCAATATTATTCTCCAGCACCACAATTCAACCGCGTCTTCTTTGGTCTTCCTTATTCAACGTCCAACTGTCACATGCCTATGAAGCAATTGAAAACACCCTGGCTTGGGCCAGGCATACCCTAATCCTCAAAGTAACATCTCTGCTTTTCAACACTCAGCATTTCAACCATTCAACAAGAGGTCTTGTGCAGCAGATTTTCCTAACGCAACTTATCTTCTGATCTCTTGAATACTGCTTCCATGAGCATTGATTGAGGATCCAAACAAGGCGGAACCCTCTTCGCCATTTATCATGGTGTTCCCTATTGGTCCAGTCATGAGAATTTTGGTCTTCTTTCCAATGAGCTGTAACCCATACAGAAAGCTACGATCCTTGCTCTTCATCAGCAAGTTCTTCAAGTTCTTCCAGATTTCAGCAAGCAAGGTTCGGTTATCTGCATATCGCAGGACGCCAATTATAATTGTTACCTTTCCTTTTTTTGCTCTCCCTCTATCTATGTTTTCGCTGGCATCCTTGTAAGTGTCTGTCCTTGGCTCTTTCGGATAGTTTTTCAAGTTTGTTTTTCACATCACTGAAGCAAGCTTTGGTGGAGTCAACTCGACTTAACTGCCAGCGACGTAAATTTTTATTTTGTTTTTCACATCCATCTTTGTAGTTTTGTTCTTATTTTTTCAGTTTTTCTCCCCTTTACTTTCATCTGGACCTGTTTTGGATTGTTTTTCTTTTTTTACCTGTTTTGTTCTTATAGACTTTGTTGTATGTGGTAGATACAACTTCTTGGATTCACTATTTATTTCTAAATTTGGGTTCCTAATTGAGTAATTTTCTAAAACATAGGTTTTCTCTTATTCATCAGGACTGTTTTATGTGTTCATATTTTTAATCTTGTTCACATAGTTCTTGATTATTGCAGTTATTTACTCAGCCTAAATGAAGGAGATTTTTAGAGAAATTTGCGGCTTACCAATTAACAGTGTATGTGGCTTGCCCTTACTTCCAAACATTTTTTTCTACAGTATAAAATTGAGGGATACTGATAGCAGCTCATATCCATGTCTAGGTAAAATAATATTACATGAGGGTGCTTCCAAATTCATGGAGAAATAGAATAAAAAAGACAATGGAACTTTTCTGATAATGCATTATCAAAGATTTAGCCCTATCCTTTGTATGTGTGAAGTTTCCATCACCTCTACTGAGTCCCTGTGTAGGGCAAATAGCATAATTTTCCATTTCTCATAGGCATTCAAATGATGTAGCTTGGTGAAGAGTGACACATCACCTTCTTCTTCATCCGCTGCACCTTTTCCTCCTTTAACCACTATAAGGAAATGTAGTTCCCAGCTCGCACTGCTATCGAGGTTTTTCTCATTTCTCCTCTTCTAGAAGAGTTCATTTGTTGCTACCGTACCTCTCAGAATTAGATGCCCTAATGTTTTCAGGGAGTTGGAATATTTACTCTGTAGAGTATGTTTCTACACAGTGTTTTTGTTGTTGTTGTTGGGTGTCATTGAGTCAGTTCCTACTCATAGCACCCCTTTGTACAACAGAACGAAACACCACCCGGTCCATGCCAGCCTCACAATTATGTTTGAGCCTGCCATTGTCACCACTGTGTCAATCCATCTTGTCGAGGTTCTTCCTCTTTTTGGCTGTCCCTGTATTTACCAACAATGATGTCTTTTTCCAGGGACCGGTCTCTCCAGATAACAGATCCAAAGTATGTGAGATGAAGTCTCACCATGCTTGCCTCTAAGGAGTATTTTGACTGTACTTTTTCCAAGATGGATTTTGGCAGTCCATGGTACTTTCAAGATTCCTCACCACACCATAATGCCAATGCATTGGTTCTTTTTCTGTCTTCCTTATCCAATGTCAAACTTTCACATGCATATGAGGTAACTGAAAATGCCGTGGCTTGGGTCAGGGGCACCTGAGTCCTCAAAGTAACATCCTTGCTTTTCAACAATGTCCTTTCGAGCAGATTTAACCAATGCAATGCATTGTTTGATTTCTTGATTGTGGATCCTAACAAGATGAGATCTTTGACAATATCAATATTTTCTCCATTTATCCTGATGTTACTTATTGGTATGGTTATGAGGATTTTTTATTTCTTTACAGTAAGTTGTAATCCATATTGAAGGAAACTTTATTCTTCATCAGCAAGTGTTTTAAGCTCTCCTCGCTTTCAGCAACCAAGGTTGTGTCATCTGTACATTGAAAGTTGTTTTTCAGTCTTCTCCAGTCCGGATGCCACAGATTTCATTAGATAGTCCAGTTTTTCTGATTATTTGCTTAGCATACAAATTGCACAAATATGGTGAGAGGATACTCAGCTGACTCACAATTTAAACCACACAGTTTCCCCTTGTTCTGTTTGCACAATTGCCTCTTGGTCTATGTACAGGTTCTACATGAGCATAATAAAGTGTTCTAGAATTCCCATTCTTCTCATGGTTATCCATAGTTTGCTATGATCCACATAATCGAAGACCTTTGCCTAGTCAATATGTTTTTTTTAACCCAAATCCATCTGATGTCAGCAATGATATCCCTTGTTCCACATCCTCTTCTGAATCTGGCCTGAATTTCTGGAAGATCTCTCTCAATGTATTGCTAAAACTGTTGTTGAGTGATCATCAGCAAAATTTTACTTGCATATGACATTAATGTTGTTCTATAATTTGAGCATTCTCTTGGGTCACTTTCTTTGAAATGGATATACATAAGGATCTCTTTTAGTCAGATGGCCAAAGAGCTGTCTTTTACATTTCTTGGCATAGAGGAGTGAGTGCTTCCCATGCATTTCAATTGGTATTCCATCAATTCCTGGAGCCTTGTTTTTAGCTAATGCCTCCAGTGCAGGTTGGATTTCTTCCTTCAGTACCATTGGCTCTTGCTCATATGCTACTTCTTGAAATGGTTGAATGTCCACTAGTTCCTTTGGGTACAATGACTGTGTATTCTTTCCATCTTCTTTTGATGCTTCTTACATTATTCGATATTTTGTCCATAAAATCTTTCAATATTACAACTCCAAGCTTGACATGTTTTTCCAGTTCTCTCCATTTTAGATATGCTTAGTGTGTTCTTATTTTTGTTAGTCTAATTCTAGGTCTTTGCACATTTCATTATAACACTTTGCCTTCTTTTTTGCTTAACTCTTTAACTTTTGCTCAACTCTTTAACTTTTTTGCTCAACTCTTTAACTTTTTCCATTTGCGTTAACTACTCTATGATTAAGAGCAAGTGTCAGAGTCTCTTCTGACATCCACTTTGATCTTTTCTTTCTTTCCTATCTTTTTAATGACCTTCTGCTTTCTTCATGAATAATGTTTTTGATATCACCCACAGATAACGAGGTCTTCTGTCATTAATGTTCAGTGTGCCAATCTGTTCATGAGATGTTCTCAAAATTCAGATGTTATATACTGAATGTTACATTTTGGCTCTTGTAGACTTGTTCTTTCTTCAGATTCCACCACCAGAACTTATATATGAGCAATTGATCCTCTGTTCCACAGTCGGCTCCTGGCCTGTTTTATCTCCTGATATTGTGCTTCTCCATCATCATGAGAAGAGAAGTGGGCTTTGGTCTGTGGAATGAGAAAGATGTGTGTCTTTGGGTAGAAGATTCACCTCTATGCACTTAATCCAGGGAGCTTGGATTGCTGGCAAATGGAGCTAGAGTGGATCACCTTTATGCTAAGGCATATGGTGCAGCGGAGTGCCCTTTGGGTATTTATCAGCAGCACTGAGAAAGCTTTGTAATGTTGTTCAAGCAGGGAAAAGCGGATGCACAAACCAGAGAGAAGCATGCCTTTGGGTATGGCTGGGAAGAGCCTCTCCTGACCAGAACTGTATGCTGAACATATCTGATCTAAACTCTAATCTGTGGACTTTTCTAATAAACCTATCAGTGTGAGTATTGCCTATGATCTCTGTGTGGCCATAGCAATGGATTCTTGAACAAGAGGCCATGGGAGACAGTTGGTATCAGAATGGGTAAAGAAGGTTGGAGAGTAGAGGCATATCTGAGCTTTATTTCATAGCAATTGATCTTGGCTTGATATAAAGTTTGACTCCCTTTCCCCTTTGTGAAGTGAGACGGGGCTGGACCTGGATCCCATGCCAATCACTTAAAGTATCCATAAGGAAGTTATGGGCTTCTGGTTTTATATGCAGAACATGTAGATTCACAAATGTCCCCAATGAGCAGTCTAGTAGCATGGCTCCCTGAGTGTGTTACCAAGTGATCTTTCACCTCTTCTTGCTCTCTAACACACGCTAATGGCATCTGACTACATCTGATCTGCAGCCGGCATCATCTGACATTTGGAAAATAAGTGAAAGAAAATGTCTTCTAGTCTGACAGATTGTTTGCAAGCATGTAGGAAAAGTTTACTTTCCCAAATAAGGACAACTTTGATATTCAATCCATGTGTTGAAAAAATATGGTTCCTATACAAAGGAGAGAATGATATTTGCAAATGAAAACCTCAGACAGCAGGCATTTTACTAGCCAGGTTCACTCTGGGACAAACTGTGCTGCTGTGGGTGTAAGGGGACATGGAACTCGACACCAGGAAGACTGCCTGTGTGGAGAATTCCTCACATCTTTCAAAATCTTTGCATGAAACCACATTCAGAAATATCATGTGAACAGGGTTGAATGCCTTGGTTAATGAATTACCATCTTTTAAATTAGGTTCTGGCTGGTTCCCCAAGTTTATTTTTGTTCTTCTCAGTGTCTCCAAAATTTCGGGGGAAGAACTCAGACCTAAAATGCCTATAAGGAGGAACAAGCTGGTTTTACTGCTAGGAATAATCTGTTTGGAACAAGGAAAATTTGTAACCCATTCTCGCCCCAAAGGTAAGCTCCAAATGAAATATCTAACTACCTTTTCTAAAGGAATAACCTTTACTGACAACCGGCATCATAATTCCACTCCATATTTACTTGGAAAATGGAAGAAGCAAATATATTTTAGAGATATCTTTGTGTTTCGTGTAATTATGTAGTCTCTTTTTCCCCCTGCAGTAAGCACATGACTACTCACTGCCACCAGTTAATTTCAACTCCGAGTGACCCTACCGAGCAAAGTGGAACGGTCCCTGTAGGTCTCCAAGGCTGTAAATCTTTACGGAAACAGAGAAACACATCTGTCTCCAGGAGTTAGCAGCCTAATACGTATTTGTTGCTCCTGTGGGTTTCCAAGACTACCTTTTACAGGAGTAGAAAGCCTCGTCTTTCTCCCGCAGAGTAGGTAATAGTTTGAATTGTTGACCTGTGGTTAGCAGCCCACTGTGTAACCACTATGCCACCGGAGTTCCTGTACACACAACACAAAAGGCAGATAAAGCAGTGTGAAGAGATGGAGGAAGTTGAGGTAATTCCAAACTGTGAAATGCATATGAGTCCAGGCTCTCCTGGGAAACCTGTGGGGAAGAATGATCTGCAGCATGGGCAGTCGATGGAACACCCAGGAACTCAGACTCATTTTAAATGATGAGCTGAAAAGCACACCGAGGACAAAAACCACAACAGCTGGCTTCTCCGAAAGTTTCCACACACACAAAGGTTGTCTTCCATTAGTTGGCACTTTTCTACTCTAATACCACACCATGTGTGAGTGAGGACACTGCCATCCTGAAAGGAACAGTATATTGCTCAAAGAGGCATCGTGTAGCGCATTAAATTCAACCAAGATGTATTGAATTTTGTCTCATGTTCAGCCTCATGGGTAGGATAGAAGAGATATCCACATTTATAATCTAATAAATACTATGGTAATAAGAACAAATCAAGCAAAGAAATTTTGTGTGACAAATATAGAAGACTGAGATATTTATGAGGTTCAGGTCTTGTATTTGAGGAGCACAATGTCTAGTTGGGGGGAAAGATGTAAAAATGATACTAATCACAGGAAAAGTGTAGAATGCTACTGGAAGCCTCTAAGGGACCACAGAGTCCAGAATCAAGGGACTACAGTCCTGCTAACTCAGGGGAAGTCTACCTCCGAGGCTTTAATCTCCCCACTGGAAAAGTAATTATCTTCATGATACTCTTTTTCTACATAGTAAATGCTGAGCAACCCTTGTATTGCATATTATATTGAATACCAACAAGTAACTTAAAACCATTTTTGTGATATTTCTATGTGCCCATTATCCTACAGTTTGTTTGTTTTTCTTACTTAGAAGAGTTTCCTGTATCCTTAAGTCTTAGGAGCTACCTAACAAAACAAAACAAAAAAAACCCTCTAACACCCAGTGGATTCTGTCTCATAATAACCTTAGAACTACTCAATTTTTGCCTTATTTTTTTCACCAGCTTCCACCTGTGGGCGGAGTCTAGTTAAACCATATCCTGGGAATTATTTTAACATTTTCAGTCGCATTGTTGGTGGAAGCCAAGTGGAAAGGGGTTCTTATCCCTGGCAGGTGAGTCCCAGGGAACCTCATCTGATGCGTGGACTGTAAGCTGTTTCACAGGGGGAGCTTCCAAAATCACCTGCTATTTATTCATCTGTGTGCTCCTTCCTACCTACCTTTTTATCAATTATTTCAGGATCTCTCATCAAAGATCCAAGTTTCTCCTATGTGCATCAATTAAGTTTAGGAAAGGTGTGTGCAGAATAGCTGTGTGAACTCTTTAACTTATTCCACTAATTAGAAATACCACCCCAAGCCTTCAGCTCCTAAGACAAATAATTTCATCCCGAGGAGCTAAAAAAACTTCTTAATCTACAATTTAAAAAAATTCCGATTCGTTAAGTATATTCAAAACAGGCTTAATTTGTTGTATTTTTAAAAGACCAAGGAAGTCAAAGGTATCATATCCAAGGGTCTAATTTGAGGTGGAAGGTTTGTACCACTACCTTAGGACCTCACAGGAATAACCAAGAGGGCTGCTTCCTCAATAACTAACACCTAAGAATTCTCCCTCAATCTGATCCCCTGGTCCTTCCATCCCACGGAAATGACCATGTTTCAGTTCCCAGCATCTTCATTTATTGTCTTTGAAACTCTACCCATTCTCCTGAGAATTAGGTCCCATTCTTGCCTTTTATTTTTGTAAAGTGATTCCTCTCTATTTTTTCTTCTCTTGGGTAAACCATGCTAACTTTTAAATCAATGAATACTTGGTTGACCAAGTTGTGTTCAGTTGGTGGAGTGAATGACTAAATCAATCAAGTTGCTGATTAGCAGAGGAACTTGATTAGTCAATTGAATTGTTGATTGATGAGTTAATCAGTCTAGTCAAATAGTCAACATTGGCTCACTAAATTCTACTTATTTACTCTTTGCTCTAGAACAGTGGTTCTCAACCTTCCTAATGCCTTGACCTTTTATTCCAGTTCCTCACGTTGTGGTGAAACTCCCCCTCCCCCAACCATAACATTATTTTCGTTGCTACTTCATAACTATAATTTTGCTACTATTATGGATCAGGCGAGCCCTGTAAAAGGGTCGTTCGACCCCCAAAGGGATCGTGACCCACAGGTTGAGAACCGCTGCTCTAGGCTCTTTTTATTCTAGCCTCTTCTTTGCATTGCATTCTGCTGTTCTATTTTCACTAAATGGGGCCCTGGTGGTGTAGTAGTTAGGAGTGGGGCTGAGATCCACCAGGTCCTCAGTTTGAAACCACACGCTGCTCCCCAGGCGAAAGATGGGACTTTCTGCTCTTGTAAAAGGTTATAGTCCTGAGCACCCTAAGCGGTTGTTTTACCCCATCCTATGCGGTTGCTATGAGTTGGCATTGACTCTGTGAGAGTGAGTTGAGTTGATTATTTATAAATAGATGTGAGTTAAAGGGAATTATTCTAATACATCACCTTTCCCCGCCTAATCCTAACTATGGGAAAATATTCATTTAAAATATTCACTTGTATGCTTTCATTTATTTGAAGTCAAATCAAATACCATGGAAAAGGTAAACTAAAGATAGTCTGTTGATGAGGTGGATTAAGGAACAGGTTTGACAAAGTTTTTGAAGTTAAATAGTTAAGAATTTAAGAGTATGGTTATTGCTATTGTTGGCAGGCGCTCTTGGGTCAGTTCTGACATATAGAGACCCTACAAACAACAGAATGAAGCACTGTCAGGTCCCGTGTCAGACTCATAATTACTGTTTTACGGTTTTAGCCTGTTCTTGCAGTCGCTCTCTTTTCACTGAGCTGCTACTTTATCAAGCATGACACCCTTCTCCAGGAAGTGGGTTCTCCTGATAATATTTCCAAGGTGCATGGGACAAAGTCTCACCATCCTCTCTTCTAAGGAGCATTCTACCTCTACTTCTCCCTAAACAATTTGTTGTTCTTCTACTTCTGGCAGTCCATGGTACTTTGGATATCCTTTGCCAACACCATATTTCAAGTGCATCAATTCTTCTGTGCTTTGCCTTATCTGCTATCCAGCTGTCATATACATGTAAGGCCACTGAAAAGAACAACCTTGGGTCAGTGACATCCTTGCTCTTTAAAGAGGTCACGTGCAACAGGCTTGTCCAGCGCAATATATCCTTTGGTTTCTTGACTGCTACTTCCCTGGGTGTTGGTCTGGATTCAAATAAAATGAAATGTTTGACAATTTCAATCTTTCCTCCATTTATCATGATAGTGTCTATTTGTCCAATTGTGAGAATTTTTGTTTTCTTTACGTTGACTTGCAATATATAAAGAAGGCTGCAGTCTCTGATTTTCATCAGCAAGTGCTTCATATCCTCTTCACTCTCAGCAAACATATGGTCCAGCTTCTCAGATTACTTGCTCAATGTACAGATTAATTAAATATGGCAAAAGGAGACAAACCTGACACACCATTTCTGATTTTAAACCATGCAGAATTCCCTTGTTCTGTTCAAAGGACTGCTGATTGGTCTATGGACAGGTTCCACATAAAGACAATGAAGTGTTCTTCAGACTGTTCAGACATAGCTTGTTACGATCACTACAGCTAAATGCTTTTGCATAGGCAAGACAAGAAAACATCTTTCTGGTATGCTCTCCTTTAGCCAAGCCCCATCTGATATCATCAATGATATCCTTGTTCCATGCCCTCTTCTGCATCTTGTTTTAATTTCTTGCAGCTGTTGATGTACTAGCTTAGCTGTTCTTAAATTACCTTCAGCAAAATGTTACTTGCATGTGGTATTACTGATATTTGTAAATAATTTCTGCATGTTGTTGGGTCATCTTTATTTGAAATGGCACAAATATGGATCTCTTCCAGTCGGTCAGGTAGCTATCTTCCAAACTTCTTGGTATTGATTAGTGAATGCTTCTAGTGTTGCATCAGTTTATTGAAACATTTAAATTAGTATTCCATCAATCCCCAGAGACTTATTTTTGACCAGTGCCTTCAGTGAAGTTTGGACTTCATCCTTTACCATCATCAGTTATTGATCATATACTACGCTTTGGAATGGCTGAGCACTGACCAATTCTCTGGGGGACAGTGACTCTGTATTCTTTCCATCTTCTTTGGATCTTTCCTGCATCTTTCAATTTTTTCCCATAAAATCCCTCACTATTGAAACTCATGGCTTGAATTTTTTCTTCAGTCCTTTCAGCTTGAGATCTACTGAATGTGGTCTTGTGTTTTGGTTTTCTAGCTCCAGGTCTTTGCACATTTCATTAGGACATGGGACATAGTATGACAGTGGATCTATACTATTTCCCTGAAAGGCTTGGAGAAACTGGAGTATATGTATGAGTTCCCCTAACCCTGAACTTTCTCCCAAATATCTTCAGCTTACTTCGGCTATACTTTATATGCTTTTCCTTTCTTTATAGATGTTTATGTTGTTAGAGAAACATGTCTTGGTCAATGATATTTTAAAACTAAATATCTATAATATTGACAGCTAAGCACCCTACAACCCTTAATCACTTCAAATTAATTAATTTTCCTCCAAGCCAAGGTTGGGGATATTCTGATCACAACATGACGGTCTTTCTTTGTTTTAGTAGAATGTGTTTCACCCTTCTACAGTCCAAGATTCCTAATACTTTTTAGTGAGATGTCTGGGTCTTTTGTACTTGTTTGTTTTTGAGCATATGTGTAACTTTCATTTGGGGGGATGTCAGGGCATTAACTTGCTGCCATTTAAAGTTTTTGAAATTCAGGTATCTCTGAAACGAAAGCAGAAGCATTTCTGTGGTGGAACCATTGTCTCTCCAGAGTGGGTGATCACAGCCGCACATTGTGTAGCAAACAGGTAGGGAAGCCCCGCCCTCCAACGAAGGTCTGTTCCTCTTCCCTTTCCTTCCACGTCAGCTCAAGGTCTGTGTACTGGATGCTGTGGCTGCATTTTGTTGTAGTGGGGGAACATTCTCATCACCAAACACAAATTGGGCTCAGTGTCATTGTCAGACAGTAGTAGAGTGTTTACTTAAATACAACTGTAAGTTTTAAATAAAAACTAATAGTTACCCATTATCCAAGTGAGAAAATTTTAAAAAGTACCACAAACATAAATTTGTCAAAGTTCACTATTGGGTTTCTTAAAATCCAATGGGGGAAAAAAAGTTACATTATGTACCTTAAGAAATCAATTTCTAAAAGACACTAACAGTGGCCAATAAAGCAGGCTCCCTGTCATCCTTCCTATTACTCTTGCCTCTTAGCCTCCATCTAAAAACCCTCATCCTTTATTCACTTTCCTTTGTTCTCCAAATATTATGTTATTTTGAATGTTCCCGGTACACACCACGATGCAGTCATATCATGACCCTATATTTGTCCTCTTTCATTTAAATTTTTTTAAATCAATTTATTGGGGCTCATACAATTCATCACAATACATAGATCAATTGTGTAAAGCACATCTATACATTTGTTGCCCTCATTAGTCCCAAAATTCGCTTTCCTCTTGGGTTCCCGGATCATTTAAATGTTTCAACCATTTCCTGGAGGCTTGTTTGGTACAGGCACTAGTAAGTATCAAAGGTATAAATCTTCCCACAGAAAGTTACTGGTCTAAAGAAAAGGGAACATATAGTTCCACTGCGATGTGGCAGGTGACAAGGTTAGAGAGAGACTATGTTACTCACTATTCACTGCCATTGAATCATTCCAACTCACAATGACCCGACAGGACAGAGCAGAAGTGCCCCTATGGTTTCCAAGACTATTACTCTTTTTTGTCTTCAGTTTTATTGGCATATAATACTCATATCATACAATTCAATAATTCAATCATATCAAGAAGACTCATACAATCATTATCCCAATCAATTTTAGAATATTTTTCCTTTATCATAGTTAAATCACTTTTAAAATGAGTTGTGTAATAAAAAAAGTTGTGTAGTCACAGTTATAGTGTTCCCTCAGCGCTCCTACATACATTGTTTACTCTCCCAACACCCTCCCCCTCCCTACCTCCCACGCCCACCCCTACCTCCCCTATAAACCCTTGCCTCAATTATTATCGCTATGCATCTGTTCCTTCTGACCTTGTAGTTAGCAACCCAAAGGTAACCCACTGTGCCCCAGGGTCCCCATTGTACTACATTAGATACCTAATATAACCAGTGTACCAAGAGAAAAACTGTACAAGAATCGCTTTGGGGACTGCAGAATACACAAAGAGAGCATTTCTAAAGCTATGAACCCATGTTCAATGTATCTTACTAGGCTCCTTTCAGATAACACTGCCCCAAATGCATGGGACTAGAATGGTCTTTACTAGATCATACCAGCTCTCTAAATTGCAAACCAGAAAGTAGGTAAGGAGAAGATCCCTGACTCCTGCTCTGGTAATCAGTCCGGAAGCCCAAAGTGCACAGACTCTCTGGGACAGCTGAGAAATGGGCCTTCAGAATAAACACTGCGCATAAAGCCTCTGACACTGAGCAGCACACTAGTTGAGGGTCAAGAACCATTCCCGCAGGAGCAGACTGACATGGAAGCCAACGTCCTAACTAAGATGGCTGAGTACACTCTTCTGCAGTTTTACACCTCTGTCGTGGTGCTGGTTGGTAGGTGCCATCCAGTCAGGGCTGACCCACAGCTATCCTGTGCACAACAGAAGGAAACACTGCACGGTCCTGCACCATCCTCACAATTGCTCCACTGAGTTACAATGTATATGCATTCAATGTGTATGAAATGGGAACTTCGACATTTTCTTAGCAGTGTTGAAATTATTCTTATTTTCCTCTGCTCAGTAGTCATACATTATCACATAGTCTGATCATATCATTTTGAAGAGGCCAGGTTGTCAACCATGATAGTGTGCTCAGATGTTCAATGAAATCCACCCACTTTGCTGTTTCCTCTTCACAGGAAGATTGCTTCATCATTGTACGTTACTGCTGGTGAACACGACTTGAGTCAGACAGAACCCGGAGAACAAAACCTCACCATTAAAACCATCATCAAACACCCCTATTTCACCATCAAGAAACCAATGGACTATGACATCGCCCTTTTGAGGATGACTGGAACCTTCCGTTTTGGTAAACATTTGAGGCCAGGAGAGAGTCTGTGTCTCACCTTGAATGATCAACTTTACGTGTTCCACAACGTTTGTGTCATAGCACATTCCCAGCAGTACAAGTGATGGAGCAGAGACGCCCTGCAAGCCCTGCAGTCTGGATCATGGGCTTAGTGACAGGAGTTTGGTGTGGAAGACACTCTACTCAAAGTTTGTTTTGCTTGGTTCTGGATATAGAATCGGGAAAAGTATGATCTGAAAGACGGAGAGAGTACGTTAGGAGCAGCTCTTCCTTTGTCTGACACATGGCCCCTGGAGATGTCAGAAAGGAATGTCACCGCTCTCTCATGGTTTCTCCAGGACCACCTAGATCAGATGTTTCCTGGTGACTAGTGTATGTTGTCCTTTATCCCTCTGATAAAGTAAACCCTGTGTTTTCTTTTCTGCAGGCCAGTTTGTGGGGCCCATGTGTCTTCCAGAGCCAGGGGAGCGATTTGAGGCTGGATTTATTTGTACAACTGCCGGATGGGGCCGCTTGTCAGAAAGTAGGAATTTATATGTCATTTCACCTAATCACAGGTCAGATTTCTTGAGGGATAACCAGAGATTGAATTGTTGATCTATTTTTTTTAAGTTGTGTATGTATTTTTAAAGACAGCGGGAAAAATCTCATTGTATTTAGATTTTCAGTTCTTTCCAAAAGACACAAATCTAAATGAGGCATCTTCAACTCACAAAGGATGAAAGAGTGCCTTCCCAAGGCTCCTGTCTGTCTTTCAGATGGCCTCCTCCCACAAGTTCTGCAGGAAGTGAACCTGCCCATTTTGACCCCGAAAGAATGTTCAGCCGCTCTGTTAACCCTGAAGAAGCCGATCAGTGAGGGGACCTTTCTCTGCACAGGCTTCCCTGAAGGAGGGAGAGATGCGTGTCAGGTAGGCAGGGATTATTAAGCCGATGGGCTCGGGCAGGGCTTTCTTTGTTAGCAGTGCTGAAAGAAGGCTGGAGGGGGAAACGGACTTTGGAAAGAAGGGTCAGGAATTATAAAGGACAAGATAAAATAAAAGACCAATTTAAGTAACCAATTGTTTCAAAGAAGAGTGGATCTCTTTCCTTCAGAAAAACAAATGACAGAGATAATGCCAGCAATGAGTTCTCCCACCCCGATGTGCTGGCTCTTTACTGCTTATAGACTTTCCAGCTTGTAGCTACTGGGGATCTTAATTTTCCACTACTCTTCCTGCGGACCACGACCTGAGGTCAATTTTACTGCTGGGCAAGGCTTCCTCTAAGACAGAGGAAGAAAGTCTCTTGCTTCGATGAAGGCCTGGGATGGGGGAAAAGTGGTATTTGAGGATCACATGGGAACTGTGCTTGTCAGTTCTTCTAGACCCTGAGCCCACGTGATTAAAAGTGAAGGAATTTCAATGATCCTCATTAGGTACTGGGTGGGGGAAAGGGCGGGGACTTCAGGGCACAGATCCTGACAAAGATGGTAACAGAGGCGTTTGCCCCTGCAGGGAGATTCAGGAGGTGCCCTCATGTGCCCAAATAAGAAAGGAACCTGGACACTGGCTGGTGTGACTTCATGGGGCTTGGGCTGTGGTCGAGGCTGGAGAAACAATATGGACAAAAATGATCAAGGATCTCCTGGAATCTTCACAGACCTTAGTAAAGTGCTGCCATGGATCCAAAAACACATCCAAACCGGTAATGAAGCCAGGGTAAAAGGTCACGAAGCTGACACTCAAGGCCAGACAGAGGCTCTGCACCTGTTGCCAGGGTAGCACCTAAGGAACCATCCTTTACCATGTCTGAGTCACTGGCCTTGAGTCAATTCCGACTCACAGCAAGCCCACAGGGCAGGATAGATCTGCCCTAGGGTAGAACTGGGGCTTCCTAGACCGTAACTTTTTACCGAAGTGGAAAGCTTTGTCTGTCTTGCACAGGGCAGCTGGTTTTGAACTGCTGACCTTGTCTGTCAAGTTCTACCTTTTCCAGAATGTCATATATAGTTGGAATCATTGAGGAGGTAGCTTTTTAAAACACTGGCTTCTTTCACTTACCAATATGCATTTAATTCCTGTTATGCAGATTATTTATGTCTTTTCATTGGTTGATAGCTTATTTCTTTGTATTGTGGAAGTGTATTCTATTGTATAAATGTAACAATTTGTGCCGTCATTTATTGAAAGACATCATGGCTTCTCCCAATTTTTAAAAATTATTAATAAAGCTGGTATGAATACTGTACAGATTTTTGTGTGGACATATTTTCAATTCATTTTGGTAAAGCCATAGAAGTAGGATTGCTGGATCATGCAGTAAGTCTATGTTTAGCTTTGCTGGAAACTGTTAGACATACAAAGTGGTTTTACCATTTTGTCTTCTCACCGGAGTTCGTTCCTATGCTCCCTATCCTTGTCTGCATTTAGTACTGGCAGTGTTTTAGACCTTAGCCACACTGATAGATGTTTGGATTTGAGTCATTCTAGTCATTGTATGTAGTCATCACATTTTAATTTGTAATTCCCTATTGATATATGATGCTGAGCATCTTTCCATATGTTCATTTTCTAAGGGCATACCTATTGTGATGAGGTATTCAGATATTTTGCCTGTTTTGTAATTGGGTGTTTGATTTTATTGGTGAGTTTTAAGACCTCTTCATATATTCAGGTACAAGTTCTTTATCAGATACGTATTTTGCAAATATGTTCTCGCAGTCTATCACTTGTCCTTTCATTCTTGTAACAGTGTCTTTCACCAAAGTTTTAATTTTAAGAAGTCCCACTTATCTTTTTTTTTTCTTTTATGGATCATCCTCTTGGTGGTGTATCTAAAGATTCTCTACCAAACTCAACATCACCTAGATATTCCCCTATCTTCTTAATTTTACATTTATATTTAGGCCTGTTATCCATTTTGAGTTAATTGTAGTGAAAAGAATAATGCCTGGATCCAGATTTCATTTTCTTTATGGATGCTCATTGTTCTATGTACAATTTGTTGAAGAGACCACCATTTCTCCATTAAACTGACTTTTCTCCTTTGTCAAAGGTCAGTTGGCTACATTTGTGTAGGTCTATTTCTGGCTTTCTATCATATTCCACTTATCTCCCTGTCTATTCTTCCACCATTGCCTTGATCCCTGGGTTTACAATACATCTGGAAGTCAGGTAGTGCCGAACTCTGTCTGTGTTCCTCTCTAGGATTGTGATTTAGGAGGTCTTTTGTCTTTACCTATCAACTTTGTTGATAACCACAAAATAACTTGCTGGAATTTTTATTGATATTGCATTGAATCTGTATAACAAGTTGAAGGAATTAATATTTGATAAGATCCTCCTATCCATAACTTTGGAATGCATTTCCATTTATTTTGAATTTTGAAATTTCTTTCATTAGTTTTGTAGTCTGCCTCATGTAGATCTTGAATATATTTTTTCAAATTTATATCTAAGTATTTCATTTTTCTGAATGGTAATATAAGTGTTTTTATATTTCAAATTCCAACTATTGATTGCTAGCACATGAGGGGCTTCAAACATTTGTGGAAAAACTCCATTACTTTTTCATTCAAATTTTCCACAAGCTTTTTTGAGTCCTCTGATACAGAGAAGTCATTGGCTTTTGTATATCCATCTTGTATACTACAACTTACTCCAGTCACTTATTAATTCCAGCAGTTTTTGGCCAAGTCTTTGAGATTTTCTACAATCACATCATCTATGAAGAAAGGCAGGTTCATTTCTTCCTTCTTAAATATGGATGACTTCTCTTTTTCTTGTCGTCGCTACGACTTGCAGTACAATGTGAAAGAGAAGTTGTGACAGGATGACCTGTCATGCTCCTGATCTTAAGGGGAAGCATCTAGTTTCTACTCATTAAGGGTGATATTACCTGTAGAGTTTTTGTTGATGTCATCAAATTGAAGAAGTTCACCCCCAATTCCTAGTTTGTTGGGTGATTTTATAATGAATGAATGTTGGATTTTCTCACATTTTTCTGAATCGATTGAAATGATCATGATTTTCTTCTTTAGCCTGTTAAATGTGGTGAATTACATTAATTTTTTTTAATATTGAACCAAACTTAAGTACCTGAAAAAAATCCACTTGAATTTATTAAATTCTTAATAAATGAAAATTTAATATCTTCATAAAAATTAAAGTTTTGATGAAAGACATTGTTACAGAAATGAAATTATACATGGTATATAATTCTTTTTATACATTGTTAAATTTTATTTGCTAATACTTTGTTGAGGATTTTTGCCTCTGTATTCATGAGAAATATTGGCTTAAAATTTCTTTGCTTGACTATCTTTGTCTGATTTTGGAATTGGGATAATGCTGGCCTCAGAAAAATGGGTTGGGAGAGGTTCTTTTCACTTCTATTTTCTGAAAGAATTTATAGACAGTTACTATCATTTATTCTTTAAGTGACTGGTAGAATTCACTAGTGAAACCATAGGGGCTGGTACTCCCTATGGTAGGAGTTTATTTATTGTTGCTCCAATTTACTTGATAACTGTAGGCCTTGTCAGAGTATGTATTTCTCCTTTTGTGAGTTTTGGTAGACTGGGTCTTTCAAGGAATGGACCATTACATTTAAATGGCCAATTTGTAAACACAGAGTTGTTCATAATATCCCTTTATTATCTTTTTAATGTTCAAGAGATCGATTGTGAATGGCCGCTCTTTCATTTCTGACATTAGTAACTTGTACTTTCTCTCTCTCTGTTACTCTGGCTAGTGGTTTATCTATTTAAGAAACTTCTTTTCAATTTCACTGGTTTTATCTATTAATTTTCTGTTTTTAATTTAATTGATTTCTACTCCAGTATTAATTTATTTTATTCATTTCTAGTATCCATTTATTTTCTTCTGCTTGTTTGGAATTTGCTCTTCTTCTTCAACTTTTCTGAAGTGAAGCTTATTGATTTTAGATCATTCATCTTTCATAATATTCAATGCTGTAAATTTCTTTTCAAATACTTTTGCTGCAAATTTTGATAATTATATTTTCATTTAACTAAAACACTGTTAATCTCTTATGAGACTTCTTATGCCCAGGTGTTATTTAGAAGTGTGTTGTTCAATCTCAAAATATCTGGGGATTTGCTACTACCTTTCTGATATTGATTTCTAGATTAATTTGATTGTATTTAGTATACTTTGCCTGATTTCTATTCTTTTAAATTTACAAAGGTGTATTTTGTGGCTCAGAATATAGTCTATCTTGGTGAATATTCCATGTGGGCCTAAGAAGAGTATACATTATGTTATTGTTGGATGAATTAAATCCAGTTAATATAGTGCTATTCAGTTCTATTTTATATCTACTGACTTTCTGCCTTCTGAATTTGTCAGTTATGTACTCATAGTGCTGTAGTTTCAACTAAATAGTAGATTTGGCTAGTTTTCCTTGTAGTTCTGTCCAGGTTTGTCTTACACATTTTGATGTTCTGGCTTTAGGTGAATACATATTTAGGATAGTTATGTCTTCCTGGAGAATTATTCTTTTATCACTATGTAACACCCCTCTTTAATCTTTATAATTTCCCTTGCTCTGAGGTCTACTTTTCAGAAACTAATATAGCTACTCCAGCTTTTCTTTCATTAGCATTAGCTAATCATTTTTTAACTTTAATATCTGTCTTTATATTTAAACACATTGTTTTCATCTTGTTTTTTTTATCCACTCTTATTGCAGTCTCTGTCATTTAGTTGGTCTGTTTAGACTGATCACATTTAAAGTGGTTGGTAATAACAACCATATTCATAACTGTTTTCTGTTCATTACCTTTGCACCTGTTTCCTTCTCTTCCTTTTTTGGTTTCTTTCTTTTTTCCCCCTTTCAAACCATTTTATTAGGACCTAATCCAGCCATCATACCATTCCATAGTTCAACAGTCTTTCTTTTAATAAGCTGTTCCTCCTTTTATTTCATTAAAAAAATAAAGTTCAATTTATAGGCAATAGATTCCACCCATTTTAATGAACATTTTCCAAGTTTGGTATATGAGTGAGTGATTTGGGTGAGCGCTTACAGAGAAACTGGTTTCCATTCCACACTTCACACACACTTTGATTTGCGACATTGGTTGCAGTGTAACAGCACTCTTCCCATTCCGTCTCTGCTTACCATTTCCAATCCTTCTTCTTGCCTATCCTTCCCTGTCTTCTGAGCTGTATCCTGGGGCAAATTCTGCCCTATTAATTTCTTATGATTGGTTCTTCTAGTGAAGTGGTTCTCAACCTTCCTAATGACGCAACCCTCTAATACAGTTCCTCATGTTGTGGTGGCCCCGTGTGTGGGCATATCTGCATGTGGGCAGAGCCACCTGGAGACGGATAGAGGAGTGGTGTCTTGGCTCCTAAGACCATCAGAAATACGGTCTTAGGCGACCCCTGTGAAAGGGTCATTTGACCCCCAAAGGGGTCACGACACCCAGGTTGAGAACCGCTGTTCTAGTGAGTTCATACCTCCATGGTGTTCACATTGTAGGCCTATCTGTTGTTTGGCTGCAATTGGGCCACACGAGTGAGTTCAGTTCCCAGGTCTGAACATTGTCTAAGGGCCAAAGTCATGGGCCTTCTTTGATTTTAATTGAGACTTTTAAATGATTCAATTTTCTCTTAGCATATCAATTACATAATTTTTAAATTAGTGGTTGTCCTAGAGTTTACAATATGCATTTATACTAATCTAAATCTACTTTTAAATAATAATATACTACTTCACAAGTAGCACCTTATATAGGACTGGGAACCAGAGGGCTCCTTTTATTAAACAAACAGATAAGTTCATTCCAACTTTATTTCTGCCTCCAAGCCCAATTTAATAATTTTCATAACTAACTGGTGGCTTCTGGTCTCAATAAGAGTATGCAAGCTGTGGTAGTTACATAATCTCCTGTCACCTTTGAGGGTATTAAGAGTAAAGAGGTGGAGTCTAGCCTGTCAATCAGGTCACAGCCTGATGATGCCTTCTTGTGGACATGGCCTTCTCCCATGGATTCTGGGAAATTCCTCCCTCTTCTTCACTTTCCTGTTGAGGAGCCACACTCAGAGAGCTGGAGGAGTCACGTGGAGACCTGAGCCCACACTGAGATGCTTCCACTGGCATTGTATCCACAAGACTGTACACCTGCCAGCCTGTGATCTTCCTGCATTCAGCATCATCACATGTGCTGTGTGACCCTGAAGAGGAATCGATGGACTAATATCGGACATATGGGCTGATACTGGACTTATGGACTTGATCTGGATTGAGCTAGGATGCTTTGTTAATATACAATTACTCTTCCATATAAAGCTCTTTCCCTGAGGGGCCGACCCCAATCCCAACTACTATGTGGACACCTGCCCCTCCCCCAAGAAGAATTTATTTCAAAGGATGGTATTGAATCTGCAGCTCCGGGAGAGGGACATATCTGATCAGAGCACATGGGAGGAGATGAAGGAAGAGGAGAAGAGAGTGGAGCACATCTTGGCCCACCAGGCCTTGAGGACAATGTTCCCAATTAGAGCAGCCAGGACACAGAGAGGACCACATGGCCGGCCCCACTATGAGACATGATGTCCCTCACTGACCCATAGCCCTACAGGGGACAACACCAGATACACAGTGTGGGAATTGCACCTGATCCGATCCTGCCACACCGAGGCAAAACACTAAAGGGGTACAACAGAACAGCAAGGGAACAGAGCGGCGAGGTTCCCAGGGAATGCTGAAGGTGGACATTGGGGCCAGTGCATGATGCCCCAACAGACTGAACTGGAAAACACTCCTAAAGGCCAACAAACAGTCCTTGAACTAACTACAAGCTTTTCTTTCTTGTTATGTGTTGTTTTGTTGTATATTGTTGCTTGGTTTTGCTCTGTCTTGTTTTTGTGCATGTTACTATCTCCACAGGTCTGGCTAAATAAGATAGGATGCATGAACAATCTGGAGGAGAAAACAATGGGACCGACAGTTCCGGGGGGTACATGGGAGAGGGGGAGGTGGGCAGAAAGGTAGTGGTGTTAACAAACACGGGGGAAAGGGAACAACAAGTGATCCAAATCGGTGGTGAGGAGGGTGTAGGAGGCTGGGTAGGGAGTGATCAAGGGTAACATAACCAAGAGGAATTACTGAAACTCAAATCAAGGCTGAGCATGATAGTGGGACAAGAGGAAAGT